GGTGGAGATTGTAGAGTCTGGTCAGAGTATGGTGGAGATTGTAGAGTCTGGTCAGAGTATGGTGGAGATTGTAGAGTCTGATCAGAGTATGGTGGAGAAAACCAGTTAGGGTTTAAAAGCCTTAAAAGCTCTAAAGACCTTTTTGCGTCTATGTGGAATTCCTTCGTTGAATATATAAAGCATTTGAACATTTCAGAAGACAGTGCGAGTGATTGAAGATTATGTTAACTGTAGTTCCCAGTAGTTAGACAATTTACTTAAGGATATATACTCTTAAACTTAATTTTCAATATAAAGAGGTTAAGTACGAAATGTGACCAGTTGCACTGAAATTAATATTGTGAGAGGATATTTGTTTTTTCGTTTTGTTTGTATTTTATTTTGACTTGAACAAGTAACAATACTACTGCTGTTGTCATATTTTGTATATTGTTCAAGATGTTCGTTTAAGCTGCTAAAAATTTAATAAATATATTTTGGGAATAGTTAGGTAGAACCCTGTTCTAATAGGAAAACGTGGACAGTTGACGTTTATTTTGCTTGTTCTACATTTCTTATTTCCTGTGAGCTGACTCAGCAACCGAATATCAATAAAGTTGAGATGCTCAAATTCTACTGAGACAAAAACCAAAGCTTTAACGTCAGTGAACCTCAATGAAACGGCCATTTTTAACCACAATTGCAGGCAGCCCGGCTGAACAATAAGTAAAAATGAGCATTTAAAAAAAAAAAAGGTGGTAAAGAAGCAGACAAAAGGTAAAATGTGGCTCTCTTGGATTCGGCGAGGCCTGTTTTTTACCCCTGGTGAATGCACAATTGAAGGCATTAGAATAATAAAGGCTGCATACTCGACTGTTCTGCATTAACCTTGCACCTTGCAGTTTTATTAGGCGTGTGGATCCATTAGGTGGAGGGCTGATATGAGCTGGAGCTGCGAGATGGGGTGCGAGCGTAATGATGTGAGTCTGAGCCGCTCAAGGCAGGTGGAGGCTGGAGGTGTTTTACCGTCACCCCCCTTAATGGAACCATTTATTTTAGGACAAAGGGGGGAAAAAAGAATATAAATGTTTGTGTTAAGCCCTCGAATATTACTGTCACCTCTCACCTGATTTCCCTTCACTCCAACACACCGATACCCGCTCAAGCATCACTTCATTAACTCCCAGCCGCTTGGAAATGGAGGCATTACACTTTGCACTTGATTTGAGGAGAGGTTAAGCAGGCCGCCACGTTATAGGCTGCTTGCTTAATCTACCTCAAATCGTCTCCACAAACTGAGCTGCAAATTCAGCTGCCGCTGTTCCGCCTGCATCCGGAAAGGACGACAGCAAAGGAAGCTCACGCGTGTTTGAATATATATGAAGTAAGGTCTGTTTTATTCTGTTTTTTACCCCCTGGGTGTTAGTTCTGCCCCTCGCTCACCTTTGACCTGGATGGACAGCAGGGAATCAACACCAACATATTCCAGATGTTTAGACTGAGGCGCTTGTTTAAGATAAGATAAGATAAGAGCTTTATTGATCTCACAGTGGAGAAATCCACTGGTCACACATTGGTTAGAGTTTAAAAGGAGGAAAAGGTGCATAAAGTACAGCAAAAGCAAACAAATATACAAGGAAGCAACACAGCGCAGAGATTTTGGTGATTAAAATATATACAATCATTGAAGGAGTCGTGTCACAAAAGCCACTCATCCTCACTGCTCCGAGCATCTTTTTTTAGGCTGTAACTGCACTAAAAAAAAGGTCATATTAAGGTTGATATTGTGCAGGTGGAGCTTGTTGCTCACTGTGTGGACAGGACAGATTTAGCCTAACTGGAATTTACAGTAAAACAGCGATATCTGAGCAGAAATTAATCCGGGATGATCCAATCCCTCCACGTTCCTCAGTGTGTTTATCGAACCTCAGACTAAAACTTTCCTCATCCAGCCACTTTTAATGGGCCTTATTCAATAGAATAATGGAATTAGCCATGGAAGGGGGGTGTGGCTGCAGTCCGGTGTCGGAGGCCTGACAGCTGTGGATAATCTAATTTGCAAGGCGTAATTAATGGCAAGTGGTTTCATTTATGTGTAATGTGGGCTGTCTTTCCTCAAGGGCAAAGAAATACAGAAACTTCGGGGGTTAAATCCTCCTCTGACTGACTGTTTCCTTATTTTTTTCACTCCTGTTCTCTCCTTGTTTTGAAACATTTTAAAATAATCGTTAATGTCTGTTTTCATGCTCCAGGTGGAGACTAACCGAGTGTTTTTAACATTTTACCGGACGCCTTCTCTGAAAACTCAGGCTCAAGCAAACCACTCCATCTGTAACCTTTTAAAAGTACCATTTCTGAAATTCCTGGTGGGGAAAGACTAAAGGAGAAAGAGTCTGTTTGGGTTCTGTGTCGCTCCAATGCTGAAGGTCTCCAATAAATCAACACCAGCACAGAATCAGCAGGTGAGCTCAGAGCTTCACAGTCTTAAGAAGAGATCCATTTCATCTGGATGAGGAGTGGAGAAGCCTTTAACGGCTGGCTCCAGGTGTTGCATCCATATTTCCATTAAATGAGACGTGAATGAGTTTGTGTGTATCGGGAGCAAATGGCACAACGGGATAAGCAGAAACCCGGTTTTTCCTCAGACAGGGAGACAATTCAAAGGCTGAGAATCGCATGGATCCCAAAGAGGGGACTGGAAACTCCCCTCCACGCAGTTTAACACTCAAAAAGACCTTCGGGATTAGAGGAGAAACATCTCCAGAATCCAGCAGTCGGGCTCATGCGATGAGCGCTCCATTAAAAAAAAAAACTGCAGAGTCCCGGAAACAGGTGGCTGTAGTTATTCCAACTCATTTAATGCCCAGCCACCACTAAAACGCAGCTCTGGGGAGTTCAGACATCCATCTGAGCTGTACTGGATGCATCTATTTAAGTTACATCCTGTGAAAAATTAAAGGGGATGTCTGAAGTCAAAAGGCTAAAATTCAATTAAAAAACAAAAAAAGTACCTAAATGTTGGTGTAACTAAGTAGTTATTACAGATTCCTGTGTCTTTGGGCAAGAAAGAAGCCTTCTTCTAATCTGAAGAAGCCTCTGGCTGAAGAGACTCTGCTTTCCAACTCCAGACTCATGAAGATTCAAGTTTTCATAACATGTCCGCTAACCCTAAAATATTTTTAGGGTTAGAAGGCCCCGGAGCTCCGATAGAGGTCGTAAAATGAGTTGAAATCCAACACCAACAGGGCTCATGGTTTCTGGTTATGTCTTTTTTTCTCTGGACTTGCTTTTGGGCCCTTATTTGCGGACTGGTTTCAAGGCTTTAAGAGTCTGTGATGGGGAGTGTTGACATGAGGCGTTAATCTGTGTGAAACCAATGAAAAGCTGGAGTAAAAACTGAATGGCTGTGTTTACTGTGAGGTGGCTCCAGGCTCTTCCAGGAGCTCCTAAAAAAGCATTTCCTCTGCTTCTGAAGAGGAGAAGAAGCCATAAATGAAGCTTGTCCAGTGTGATCCACCCTCCTGATCCCTGTTGTTTGCAACCAGAACGAGGCCTCCTTCTTCAGACGGCTCTGGCCACAAAAGATTAACAAATTTGCTTTTTTTTTGGGTGAAACTGGAGAATCCATAATGGAACAGGAAAGCGAAAAAGACAAAAAGGTCCCGGAGCTCTGATAGAGGTCTTAAAATGAGTTGAAATCCAACGGCAACAGGGCTCATGGTTTCTGGTTATGTCTTATTTTCTCTGGAATTGCTTTTGGGCCATTATTTGCTGAGCTCGTCCAGTGTGATCCACCCTCCCGATCCCTGTCGTTTGTCCCAGAACGAGGCCTCTTCCTTCAGACGGCTCCGGCCACAAAAGATAGACCAACTTGACTCGGCCATGATCTAAAACCCACCGACTGGGCAAACATCAGGGGTCTTAAATCTCTGAGCCGTGGCGGAAATTGGACCCCTCGCTCCTACAGTTAACTCATTGGCTGCCAAAGACGTCTATAGACGTCTTTTATGTTTTTCAATGCGAGTGGCTGGGGGACGATCTGCTAAAGCTTGTCCGTAAATATGGGCTTCTAGACAGAGTATGTAGTAACAAATTGACCCTCTAGGGGGCAGTGCCACTTTTGATGGGAGATGAGCATAGACTGTAGGCAAATAAGAAAAAGCTAACGGTTCGCTATGAGAGAACATGTCGCCGGTGAGACGCAAGTCGAGGAAGAACGGAATAAGGTAGAAACAATTTTTTTCCTGATTATCACGTCTGGGGGAATGTCTGGTGTCTCGTCATGTGTTGATTACCTATTGTGTACACCTGGGGTTCCCCTCCCTCATGTGTTTAAATAGTCCTCGTTTCCCCTGTCCTGTGCGAGTGCGTTTTCGTCTGTTGTCTTTCGTCCCACCACGTCAGTCCAGGTTTGATTTTTGCCACAGTCTTATTTACTTTGTTCCATAGCCATGTTTTGCCACAGTTTTGTTAACTTTATTGCTTTGGTACTTTGTTCATAGTTTTATCTTCCTTGCTCTGTTACTTTTGCTCATAGTTTTCCACAGCCTTGATTTGTACTTTGTCTGGACATTCACTCTTCATGAGTGTTTTTTGTTACAATAAACCTTGTTTTTCCGTCATCTCCGCACCTGAGTCCTCCACCAAGACCCACCCTTCCTGACACTGATGAAAGAAGAGAGTCTACTCTTTCTTTTGGTGTGTTCGGTGTTTACATAGTCATAGCACAAACTATTCTGTGGCTCTTGAAAAATCAGTCAAAATGCTCAAAAAACTGTAGTATGGGACTCTCTGTTCTGAAAATGGCTGCCAGTCAATGAGTTAAGTTAAACGGGAAAACAAAGCCCATCGCGGACGCGTCCCGGAGCCAATGAGAGGCCGCGGCATCCATCAGTGGAATTGCGCATTCGGTCCGACGGGAGTTCGCTCATCCGGAAAGCTCCGGGAAAAGATTGACAGCAGCCGTTTGCTCCGTGTTCGGGGGGGGGGGGGGGGGGGGGGGCGTAATCCGGGCTGAGAGCAGGACAATCAAATCACTTCTCTGAGACTTCTGCTGCCCACAA